GGAGAGGGTCTTGCGCGGACCCCCCTCTCAATCCAGCAGCACAAGGACCCTCTCCAGAAGCTTCGCTCGTGGGCTGTTTTGCACCAATGCAGGCCGGAGAAAGATCTACCCGCAGCCTCGTTTTGAGCACCCTTCGCACGAGGAGGCCTCCTCTGGAGCTGGGCTTCGCCTCCGAGCCGCGTCCCATCACAGCAGCAGCAGCAGCGCCCCCCCCCAAAGGCAGCACCTGGCCTTACCTGACTGAGCCAACCTGTCCTTGGCGCTGTGGCACTGGACCAGCTCTATCCTGCTGCAGAGGGAGATCACCTTGGAGTGCAGCTCCTCCAGTTCGTACCCGGTACAGTCCAGCTGGAAGCAGATCGGAGGGACAGTCAGCGGCCCGCTGGGCCCTCCCGCAATCCAGCCGCTTTGTGGATCAGCCGCTTGGAAGGGGTCAAGAATCCCCGCCACCTTGGGGGGGCGGGCAACTTCCCCGTGACCAGCCTACCTGCTGAATTCTGTTGACCATCTCGATGACCTGGAGGTAGTCCAAGAAGACCAGCCCGGCGGTGTCCCATCCCTGAATGAGGCTGCAGCGCTCAGGACTGGACAGGTCTTCCAAGAATCCCTTCAGGTAGGTGTAGTTCTCGTTGATAATGGCGTCTGCGGGGAAGGCGAGAGGAGAGAGGAGTGGGAAGGGTCTGTGTCATGTGTCTGAGTAACGAAACACTTAAAAGGACTTTCAGGCATGTTTTCTCCTAAAAGCATTTATTAAGATTACAATACGTCAGTACAGCATGGTGGAAATGCTTAGAACTGCTTCTCTTCCGTTACGCATAACATTCCAAACATTTTCCACTCCCTTATTGTAGGGTCATGGTTCACATCTTCCAATCTACGTGGAAGATGTGATTTACTTCCGCTTTCTCCCGGGCTATCCTTATGCTCCTCCCTCTTTCCTGGTTGCTGGTTTAACTATATATATACCAGACAGTTCTGCACATTGTCAAAGCAAGAATATACAGTATTTGCAGCGTTGACATCTTGCCTGCCCGCTTCTCCCGCTAGCAGGGGGGGGGGACTTCAGCCCCGCGGAAAGCCGCTGGGGAAGGGATGGGCGTGCTTACCGGAGGCCAAGTGCCTGACCACCAGCTGGTGGCACTGGTTCCAGTGGCCAGCCTTGAAGAGGTAGAGGGCCTCGCGGGCGCTGTCGCCCTCCCTCCTGGCCCACAAGGCCTTCGCCTCGTAGATCCACGCCGGGGGCACGCACAGCTTCTCCGTCAGGAAGGCCTCCTTGTTCCGGGACTCCGGCAACTCCAGCAGCTTGCAGTGGCGACTCAGCAGCTCCCGCACGGCCCTTTCCCGCATTCTGGGGAGGGAAGGGGGGGGGAGTGAAGGACAGCTCCAAGTGCTTTTCCACCCAGGTCCTGCCCACGAAGGGCGGCCTTCTCAAAAAGGGCATTTTCACGGCCCCTGGGGATTTATTTAGCACGTGGTTAAAAAAAAAATGTTTTAAAAGCACATTGCAATAAAGGGGAACCTTTGTAGCGCGTACTTGAGCTGTGGGGATGAGAAGAAGGCCCTCATCCTATCTCAGGAGAAGGTTTTTGGGCTGCATGCAAGGTTGGGACCGGGATCCAGAGGGTGCTATGCGATGCAATGGGACACTTGCCAGCTGTGTTTCCCAACCTTGGGAAGGGGTGGACTTCAACTCCCAGAATTCCACAGCCAGCATAGCTGTCTCTCCTTCCTTCCTTCCTTCCTTCCTTCCTTCCTTCCTTCCCTCCCTCCCTCCTTCCTTCCCTCCCTCCTTCCATTTGGACAACCATTTGTCTGAAATGGTATAGGATTTCCTGCCTGAGCAGGGGGTTGGACTAGATGACCTCCAAGGTCCCTTCCTACTACTACTACTACTACTACTACTACTACTTCTTCTTCTTCTTCTTCTTCTTCTTCTTCTTCTTCTTCTTCTTCTTCTTCTTCTTCTTCTTCTT